TCTCTCTCTCTCTCTCTCTCTCTCTCTCTCTTCCTCTCACTGTATCTGAACAAAAAATGGAAAAATGTCCTCAGGTGAGTATAAAAAATAAAGGAAGGAAGGAAGGAAGGGGCTATATCTCATTCATAGGAAACAGGGAAAGGTACATTTCAGACATCCGTATGTACCACCACCTTGGATGCTGTGCCTCAGCTGTCATGGAGACATTCCACTGTCCTAAGGCCTTGCCATACCTTGCCCCTTCTACCTCAGGGCTTTCTTGATGTTGATGAATTGTCAGTGGTAGGGGGATCCATTTGGTGCTCACACACTGGCAATTTGGAATTAGAGGGGGAATGGATACCCTATGTAGTGAACACACTTTTGACATATGGGAGATATGATCTGACAGATACACATTTTTCTTCCTCCATCTCGGAGATAAACTGTTCTGAGATGAAGTAGTTTATTCAGACTTTGGAAAGATGACCCCTTGAGATCACACTATCAGCTATAACTGACAACCACAGCAGCCATCCCATCATACTTGTCCTCCTTTCTTCCCCAGCTCACCCCCACTTCTCTGGGACGGTACTTGAAGCTTCGTTATCTAGGGAACTTGATCCAAGGTTAGATGTTGGTTATATACTATCTTATGAAAAGTAAGTTGCAGAGTAATATGGAGGCTGGCAAATATTATGTAATGAAATATATAAGTATAATCACATTTAAACATATTGCTTGTAAAGGCATAAAAGATGTCTGAATGGTTATACAGGCAATTTTTGAGAATGTGTAGGAGTAAAAAAAAAAGATATGAAGTATTTATTATACTTCTTTACTTAAGTTTTTAAACTTGCCTATGACAACGAATTTCAAGCGGTGTGCCCCAATAATTTTTAAAACATGCAATACCTGACTATTTAGTCAGGGGCACTGACCTCTTTTCCCTTAGATTGTCAAATAAAAAAATGACAACAGCCAACACAACAATAGCCATCTGGTGTAAATGCCCTGCCTTGAACCATAAATATATAGATTATATAACAGAGTTGCATTTTATTGGTCATATTGCATAATAAGGTTGCATCTGATTCATTAATTCTTGGTACCAGAAATCCTTATATACAAGTATAGGCACCTGATTTTTTAAAAAGTCACTTTGGAGTAAAAAGGTAGGTAATTACTATTATTATATTTTTTGTAACTCAATTAAAATCATATCTATTTCTTTTGTCATATCGGTAAAAAACACATTTTCTGTTGTACCACAGAATTTTAGTAGTTTATGTGTGCCATGAGATGAAAAAGGTTGAAAATCGCTGACCTATTACATTTGTAATTTTAAAGAATACTAAAAAAAGAAAAATATTATAAAATCAGCTAATATGACAGTATAATACTTTAAATTGAACATGTTGCAGGTTTTTGTGTTATTAATAAAACATTTTAGGGACTAGAAACAAAAGAGTTGACTAAAACCGTCATGTCGGAAAACGAGTTGGAATAAGCGCTCACAGCTTTTCCTAGCCGCGTTAACATTCAGTGGTCCTAAAACGAAATGTTTCTGTACTTACAGCAGGGAAAACAATGCAAAGCAATGTCCTTCACAGGTTGTACTTATACAACGCAAAAGTAAATGCAAATCTCTCAATTAACTGATTTTTTAAAAAACAATGTAAATAAACATGCAGATGAAATATTCTTAAAAACTTAACTAGCTGGCCCTGGCCGGTTTGGCTCAGTGGTCAGAACTTGGGCCTGCAGTCCGGAGAGGCCCAGGTTCGGTTCCTGCTAAGGGCACGTACCCCGATTGCAGTTTGTCCCCTGTGTGGGTGGCAACCACTCGATGTGTCTCTCTCACATCGATGTTTCTCTCTCTCTCTTTTCTTCCCTCTCCTCCTCTCGCTCTATATGAAGATAAATGCAAAAAATGTCCTTGGGTGAGGATAAAAAAAAAACAACTTAACTAGCTAAATGACAGTACTGATTTCATTTGTGCTCTAAAGACAGAGCCAGGCTCTTTATCGTTGTAAGAAAATTTTAGCTCCATAAGAGAAAACAGAAAGTGATCTTTCCTCTAATTACATTAGATTTAAAAATTGTTTCCTGTAATGTGTATTTGGGCATATAAAAACTATAATGATATTCTAATAAATATAATACTTCTTTAGCTATTCATGCATGTGTTCTTATGACATAGTATGGGGGTGTCTTTATCATCATAACTTGGTTCAAAACTCTTTTTTCTTCATTTTATGCTAAAAGTGGGAAATTATCCCCCAGAGAAAAGGTAGTAAGTATGTCCATGAAGTACTGGACAGAAGGTGATTATATGTAAGTTATTCTGTTGACTTTATTTCCATTTAGTTATTACCTTTATATTTTTAAATATGTTTTTATTGATATTAGAGAGTGAGGAAGGGAGAGGGAGAGAGAGAAAAACACTGATATGAGAGAGAAACATCAATTGTCTGCCTCCTGCATGCACATCACTGACCAGGGATCAAGCCTGAAACCTGGGCACGTGCCCTGTCCCCGAGTCAAACTGGTGACCTTTTGGTGCATGCGCAATGCTCAACCAACTGAGCCACACCAGCCAGGACAGTTATTACCTTTAAAATGTAATATGCAAACAAACCACTTCGTTTCCACAAAATAAAATTTCAGGTAATTCTTATGTGCACTATTGAATAATTTGTTTGCTTTCATCACATTAAGGACAAACAATTGTTTTGGGGGAGGGTCCAAAAATAAATTGCTAAACAACTATAAACCACACTTTTGTTTGCAGTGAAAGTAGGAGACTTTGAAGACCCCACTAATAAATTTGTAAAATATAAAATGAAATTACCACACCAGTTGATTTATAACTAGTTTTTAAAATGTATAGAAAAAATGTAGAGAAAGTAAGTAGACAAGTGCAATTCTTGATAATACTTATGCATGTTGTTTATGAATTTTATGATTTTTGAATTTATATTTATGTGCATAACTAAAAATAACTACAGTGGCTGTAAAATAAGTTATTTCATATGAATGTCTTCATGAGTGATAAATATAACAATCATAGGGAATTTTAAAATGAGATTGTTTCAAATACATCAAAAATTGTTCCAGGAAGTTTGCATCTCAGACCAAGGCTAGAAACAGGGAGATCAGAGTTATTTCAGCAGGAAGCCCACATCTCTAATCAAGGATGAAGAGGCTAAGGTGGCACAGGCTAGAAGCTCACATCCATGCCTGAAGATGAAGGAGGCCTGCATGATATAGCTTGGAGCTATATCCATATCCAAGGAGGAGAGAGACAAGGCTTTATACAACCACGAAAGTCATACCTAGGTTACTCATATCTTTATCATAAAGTAAATTGGCCACTGATAGTGGGAATATAAAATGAACTACTCTGGAAAACAGTGTGGGCATTTCCTAAAGCACTACATTTGCAATGATTATACAATCCAGCAATCATAGCTCTAGGCTATCTTATCCCAGAGAAATGAAAACCTCTCAGGGGTGGGGAACCTTTTTTCTGCCAAGGGCCGTTTGGATATTTATAACATCATTCCAGGGCCTTACAAAATTATCAACTTAAAAGTTAGCCTGCTATATTTGGTCAGGCTAATTTGGTGAGGCTGGTGACGTTAGCTGGTATTGATTTTGCCAGCCTTATATAGCCTGAGAGCCGGACAGGTTCCCCACCTCTGACAGGTTCTCACAAAAACCTGTGTTAAGATGTTCACAGCGGCGAGATCTGTAATAGCCACAAACTGGAAACAACCCAACAATGACCTTTTGAAACGTGAATGGCTAAACTGAATGTGGTACATCCATGTTATAGAATAGAGCTCAGCAAATATTGCCACATCTGTGCCCCTGGGAAACTCACTTCCTAATGCAGGAAAAGGATGGTTAGGGTTTATAAAGTGGATATACTGGATGAATCCCCAGAGAACCCTGATGAATCTCCAAAGAATGATGTTGGGAAGGAAAAGTCAATTCCCCAATGTTATATATTGTACAATTCCCATTATATAGAATTCCCAAAATGGCAGAATTCCGGAAATTGGGAACAGTTTTAGCTGCTGCCAGACATTAGGGAAATGGGGAAGGAGGGAGGTGATGTAGTGAGCAAAAGGCACCTCGCATGAAGAAATGGTGTGTACATTGCACGTATCGAGGTCAACATCCTGGTTGTGACACTGTATTATAGTTTTCCAAAATTTTATCCATGGCGAAAGTGGGTAAATGGTATATGAGAATCTCTCTGTATTATTTCTTACAACTGGATGAGAATCCATGATGACATGACAATAAGTAGTTTCAGCAAAAGAACAGAACAGAAAAACAGAGCTGAACCATGTAGCATTTGCACAGTGCCAATCACAGCTTGGAAATCCTGGCGCTAGATAGTCCCCGGTGTGACTCTCCCTTTGGAACTCACATCTCTCCCAGCGGGGTCATTCTCCAAAGCCACAAGTACAGGAGGTGGCTCGGGAGAACCCAGATAGCAATGAAGAAACTGAGAAATTCTTAAGTAGCACTAGGAAGGCATACAGAAGGCAAGAGCCGCACAGAGGCATCCCAGATGAGACAGCGGTAAAACGAAAGCAGGCAGTCAAGTGGATGGGCCCAGAAGTACAAGCCAACAGCAACCCAGGCCTGGGGTACCGAGGCAATGCACATGCGCCGATGCACTGGCCGAAAGCGCTCACTCCCAGGCCAGAAGGGCAGGTTCCCGCTGGGGTTCTGCGCCTCCACTCCGCCAGGTGGAGCTTCCTCCGGCACAAGAGCCTCCGGGGTTCAGAGGTCACGCACGTACGGGGCCAAAATCCACTTCGGCTGAGGAGGGTGTGGAAGCCCGCCCGGCGCCTCCCTTCCCTTCTCCTCGCCGCGCGGGGCAGCATTCCACCCAGCCCACGCCGGCCCGCCGCCCTCTTTCCAGGGCGCCCGCCTCACCCGAGCTCTCCTCCGACCCCGACGACAGGCAGGAGCTGGGGCGCCCGCCGGCCTCGCGCCACATGGCCCACCTGCGCGCCTGCGAAGTCCGCCAGCTGCTGCACAACAAGTTCGTGGTGGTCATGGGGGACTCGGTGCAGAGGGCCGTGTACAAGGACCTGGTGGTCCTGCTGCAGAAGGACTGCCTGCTGTCGACCAGCCAGCTGAAGGCCAAGGGTGAGCTGACCTTCGAGGGGGACGTACTGCTGGAGGGCGGCCGGTGGGGCCGCATGCACAATGGCACCCACTACCGCGAGGTCCGCCAGTTCCGCTCGGGCCACCACCTGCTGCGTTTCTACTTCCTCACCCGCGTGTACTCCCAGTACGTCGTGGACGTGCTGGAAGAGCTGCGCCGGGGCCAGCACGCCCCGGACGTGGTCGTCATCAACTCCTGCCTCTGGGACCTCTCGAGGTACGGCCCGGACTTCCGGAGGGGCTACCGCGAGGACCTGGAGAGCCTGTTCGGGCTCCTGGGCCAGGTGCTGCCCGCGTCCTGCCTCCTGGTGTGGAACACGGCCATGCCGGTGGCCGAGGTGGTCTCGGGCGGCTTCCTCTTGCCCGAGCAGCAGCTCCGGGGTGCCCACCTGCGGCTGGACGTGATGGAGGCCAACTTCTACAGCTCGCTAGAGGCCAGCAGGCACGGCTTCGACGTGCTGGACCTGCATTTCCACTTCCGCCATGCGGGGCAGCACCGGCAGCGCGACGGCGTGCACTGGGACCAGCGCGCGCACCGCCACCTCTCCCAGCTGCTGCTGGCGCACGTGGCCGACGCCTGGGGCGTGGACCTCCCGCTCCGCTACTCGGTGGGCAGGTGGCTCAGGGATGGGCCCGGCGGCAGAAGTGCAGACCCGGCAGGAGGGAGGCGGCACCGGGACAGCAGAAGTGACTCAGGCCAGCAGGCCTTGCCCAGGCCCCCACATAGGTCGTGGTCTGCCCGCGTCCCACGACGACCTTCTACGCCCATTGCCCAAACGCGACCTCTGTTCTCGCACTATGGCCAAGGCACCTTTGTGCCTTCCCACCCATCTTTACAGCCCCGGCAGTTCTACAATAACATTTCAACGCTCCAGGTGGAATACACTGGCGAAGCAAGCTCGAGGATTGGCCTCGAGCAGCGCCTGGGTCCCATCCGCAGAGTTTCTATCCAGCACCGGAGCAGAGGGTCTCCTCCTTACCCGTCCCAGCGCCCCAGCAGGCCACGCAGACGCCGGCAAAGGCACACCCATAGGCAAGACCCCAGTAGCCAGACCGAAACCTAGGCTCCTCCCAGCACAGTCAATGGGCTGAACAGACTGCTGGACTTCTCTCGCCCAGGCCTAGTCTTCAGCAGCCCTGCCATGGTGAGGTTTCCTTAGGCTTCTTACTCTCACTGGAGAATAGTCTCACACGTTCTTCTTTGCCAGAGCCTCCAGAGCACATACTGGTGAGGGGGCAAAATCCCAGACTACCACACCATGCTCAGTTTAGCATTTGTACAGAAATGAACTCTAAATGAGAAGTACACACACACACACACACACACACACACACACACTCTCGGCTGTCTTAACTGAATATGTCTTCGAATAGCAAGTATTCTCTCCGTAGATATTCTTCCTTAAAAAAGGGGGGAAATGTTGATCCTTAAAAATTACCAAAACATTTTTATTAAGACTACAATATCACCACTAGTTTTTACATATACTTGTAGAACTTAATCCTCAACGTTTTCATCATAAGTTGTCCTGCAGATTCTTTAATTAAAATGATCTTCCTCAACATAACACTTATCCTTTAAAAAAAAAAAGGATTCCATTCACTAATGAAAGATTTTTTCTTTCTGTTCGAAACAGAAATTTTTATTTTTTTGTACAATTTTAGATTTATAGCAAAACGGAGAGGAAAGTAGAGTTTCCGTGTGCTTCCCCTACATGGACTCTCCCACTGTCAGCATCCCACACCAAGATGGTACAAATGTTATTTTCTGTGAAACTACATTGTGCATCATTATCAGTCCAAATACAGTTTTAGGTTTAGGTTGCACTCTTTGTGTTGCACATTCTGTGGTTATATGTATGATATATATCCAACATTCTAGTATTATACAGAATTGATTCACTGCCATAAAATTCCTCTCTGCACCTCCTCTTCATCCTATCCCTGCCCTACCCTTGGCAACCACCTATCCATAACTGTCTCCATAATACTGCCTTTTCTAGAATGTTATATAGTCGGAATCATACAATAAGTAGCTTTTTCAGATTTGCTTTTTTTTCCCCCTTAGTAATAGGCATTTAATGTTCTCCCATGTCTTTTCATGACTTACTAGCCATTTCCTTTTAGTTGTGAATACTATTCCATCACTGGATATACCACTGTTGATCCACTTACCTGCTGAGAAACATCTTAGTTGCTGCCAAGTTTTGGCAATTATGAATAAAGCTGTTTTAAATATTCATGTACGGGTTTTTGTGTGGATAAAAGTTTTCTACTCCTTTGGGTAAATACCAAGGAATATGATTGTTGGATCATATGATAAGAATATGTTTAGTTTTATAAGAAACTGCCAAACTGTCTTCCAAAGTGACTGTACCATTTTTCATTCCCATCAGCAGTGTGTGAATTTCTGTTGCTCCACATCCTTGGCAGCATTTGGTGTTAGTGTATTGGATTTCCCCCATTCTAATAGGTATGTGGTGGTTTCTCATTTCAGTCTGCAGTTCCCTAATGATGGGATACTGAGCATCTTTCCATGTTCATATTTGCCATCTGTATATCGTCTTGATGAGGTGCCTATTCAGAACGTTTGGCCATTTTTACTTAGTTGTTTGTTTACATATTGTTGAGTTTTAAGGGTTTTTTGTATATTTTGGATAATAGTATTTTATCAGATATGTCTTTTAGAAATATTTTCTCCCAGTCTGTGGCTGTCTTCTCATTTTCTTGACAGTGTATTTTAAAGAGCAGAAGTTTTGTTTTGTTTTGTTTTGTTGTTGACACTATTACAGATATCCCTCAGATTCCCCTCTTAACCCACCTCCATCCAGCCCCCGCCCTCCCATCCCTCTGGCCATCACCACACTGTTGTCTGTGTCCATGGGTTATGTATATGTGTTGTTTGGCTAATCTCTTCACCTTCTTTTATCCAGTCCTCTGCATCCCCCTCCCTCTGACCTCTGTCATCCTGTTCCATATCCATGCCTCTGGTTCTATTTTGTTCATCCGTTCATTTTGTTCATTAGATTTCACATATAAATTAGATCATATGGTATTTATCTTTCTCTGCCTGGTTTATTTCGCTTAGTGTAATAATCTGTAGGTCCATCCATGCTATCACAAAAGGTATGATGAGTCCTTCATTTTACAACCACGTAGTTTTTAATTTTAATGAAGTCCAACTTATCAGCTGTTCCATTCATGGATTGTACCTTTTGTTTTGTATCTAAAAAGTTATCACCAAACCCAAGATCATCTAGTTTTATGTTATATTCTAGGAGTTTTTTAGTTTTGTATTTTACATTTAGGGTCATGATCCATTTTGAATTAATATTTGCAAAGGGCATAAAGTCTGCCTGGCTTCATTCGTTTGCATGTGGATGTCCATTTAATCTAGTACCATTTATTTCCCAAAGTCAGATATTGTCAGTCCTACTTTTTTTTTTTTCTTTTTCTTCAATATTATATTGACTATTCTGGGTCTTTGGTTCTCCAGATAAACTTTAGAGTAAGCTTGTGAATATCCACAAATAGCTTGCTGGGATATTCATTGGGATCGCACTGAATCTGTAAATCAAATTGGAAAGAATTGACATCTTGACAGTTTTGAATACCCATGAATATGGAATATCTCTCCATTTTGTTCTTTGATTTTTTTTATCAGGATTTTGTAGTTTTCTTTATATCTTGTACATATTTTGTTAGCTTGATACCTGTTTTATTTGGGGAGGATGCTATAATAAATGGCATTGTATTTTCTATTTTATTTTAAGTTCAAGTTGCTCATTGCTGGTATATAGAAAACCCGTTGACATATTTATATTTACCTTATATCATGCATCCTTAATGTAATCATTTACTGTTTTCAGAATAGTTTTACTGATTCTCCCAGATTTTTACATAGACAGTCATGCCATCTGCTAACAAGTACAGTTTTCTTTTTCTCCAATATGTATACCTTTTATTTCCTTTTCTTGTCTTATTGCATTCTCTAAGTCTCCCAGTACAGTGTTGAAAAGGAGTAGTAAGAGGGGACAATCTTTCCTTCCTCTTGATCTTAGTGAGAAAATGTATAGTTTCACCATTAAGTAAGAAGTTAACTGTAGGTTTCTATATATGTTTTTTAATCAAGTTGAGGATATTCCCAAATTTCTGGTTGACTAAGTTTTTATGATAAATGGGGATTGGTATGAACATGTGATTTTTCTTCTGTAGCTCGTTGATATGATGGATTACATTAATTCCATTTTTGGATGTTGAACCAGCTTTTCATATATGAAATAAATCCCACTTGGTCATGGTGCATAATTTTTTTTATACATTTTTGGGCTTGATTTACTAATATTATGTTGAAGATTATGACATTTATATTCTTGGAAGATACTGGTCTCTAATGTTATTTTCTTGCATTGTCTTTGTCTGACTTTGGGGTTAGGGTAATGCTGGCCTCATAGAATGAGTATTGAAGTATTCCCTCAGCTTCTAACTTCTAGAGGAGATTGTAGAGAATTTGTTGTCATTTCTTTCATAAATGTTTGGTGGAATTAACCAGAGAACCCATTTAGATCTGGTGCTTTCTGTTTTGTTATATTAACTATATGTCTATTCAGATTGTTTCTTGTGAGTTTTGTCAATATTGTATCTTTCAAGGAATTGGTTCATTTCATCTAGATAAATAAATTGTGGACAATAGAGTTGTTTATAATGTTCTTACTTACTATTCTTTTGATGTCCACGAGATCTACAGTGATGTCACCTCTTTCATTTTCGATTTAATAATTTGTGTCCTCTCTCTTTTTCTCTTAGTTTTTCTGGCTTTACTAATTTTTTTTTTTTAAACCAGTTTGGGGTTTAATTGATTTTCTTTATGGATTTTCTGTTTTAAATTTCTTTGTTTTCTGCTCTAATTTTTTTTCTTCTGCTTTAGATTTAATTTTCATTTCTTTTTCTAGTTCTCTAAGGTGGAAGCTTAGATTGTTGATTTTAGATATTTCTTCTTTCCTAATACTTTCAAATACTGTTATAGATTTCCTTTTAATCACTATTTTGCTATATTCTGCAAATTTTGAGGAGTTATATTTTAGTTGAAATATTTTTAAATATCTCAAGATTTCTCCTTTGACCCAAACATTATTTAAAGATGTATTATTTAATCTCCAAGTATTTGGGGATTTTTAAAGCTATTCTTCTGTTACGATTTCTAGGATAATTCCACTGTAGTCTGAGAGTAGACGTTGTGTGATTTCTAGCTATAATTTGTTAAGTGTGTTTTATGGTCCAAAATGTGGTCTAGCTTGGTGAGTGTTCCATGTGAACTTGAGAAGAATGTTTATTAAGTTTTTTAAATTAAATTTAATTTTTTTCATCACCATTTATCCCCTCTATGCCCTCTTTCACCTCTATCCTATCCTGCTCTTCTTGAATGTAGTATTCTTTAGCTGTCATTTGTATTCAGTTGTTTGATGATGCTGAGGAGTTCAACTATGTCCTTACTGATTTTCTGCCTGCTGGATATGCCCATTACTGACAGAAGGTATTGAAGTCTCCAACTACAATAGTAGATTCATCTATTTCTCCTTGCAGTTCTATCAGTTTATGTATGCCTCATGTATTTTGACACTCTTTTGTTAGGTGAATACACATTAAGGATTGTTATGTCTTCTTAGATAAGTGGCCCTTTATCATCATGTGATGTCCTTCTTTATCCCTGATAATTTTCCTTGCTTTCCTTCTTTGATTAGTGTTAGCATGATATATCTCTCTCCATCCCTTTACTTTTAAGCTCTGTGTGTCTTTATATTTAAAATGGACATCTTGTATATAACATGTAGTTGGAACTTCTGATCTAATCTGACAATTTCTGTCTCTTAATTGGTGTCTTTAGACTATTGACATTAACATGATTATTGATGTAATAAGATTAACGTGGATCATATTAGTAATTATTTTCTGTCTGTTGCCCTTGTTCTTTGCTTTTGTTCTCATTTTTGTCTTTCTCTCTTTTCCTCTCTTTTGTGGTTTTAATTGAGCATTTTGTGTGATTTTATTTCTCTTTTCTTAGCAC